AATTTTTGTTACTGTTACACAAAAATTCAGAATTGCTAGCTGAATCAAATCGAGCAAAAGCTGAGACTTTTTCAGACTATTTTAGCGAAGTCTTCTCTACGTTTATTGTAACAAATACTTGTCCCACTCACACCGAGATTATTTATTTATTTATTTTTATTTTAACACATAGATATTGGTACAAGAAGGCACCAAATACATATGCGCCACACAAATCTTATTCGATATGTGCGAGGGCTGTGATACTGCCCGAGATACCAACCATTGAATCTGTACAGGGAACTGAGGAAACTGTCCTTCCGCTGATAACTAATCTCAAACCTGGTAAGATACCGGGCCCTGACGGGTTACATCCACGGTTGCTGTCATTCCTTGCGGCATTATTTCAAACCGCTCGAGACGCTCTTCAACACGTCCCTTTCACTCGCTCAACTCCTTAGAGATTGGAAGGACGCTCTAGTCAGTCCTATATTTAAGGACGCTCAGAGACAGATAGTATCTAACTACCGGCCTGTTAGTCTAACTAGCATAGTCGTTAAGTTACTTGAAAAGAATTCGGGTTAGGTTGCTAAGCCTCATAGATTTACACAATCTGTTAGCTCCTGAGCAATACGGATTTCGTAACAAGCGTTCATGCTTGATTAACTTGCTTATTGCGAGGGAGGATTGGACAGCAGTCCTAGATAACGATCTGTCTGTCGACGTGATATTCATAGATTTTAGCAAAGCATTTGACAAGGTTTCGCACGTAGGTCTTATGCAGAAGCTCACGAGCTTCGAAATAATAGGTACTGTACATGAGTGGATAGGAAATTTCTTATGTGACCGCAGACAGAGTGAGGGTCAATGGAACGTTATCTGATTGGAAGCCGGTCAAAAGTAGTGTACCCCAAGGCACCATCTTAGGCCCACTGCTCTTCCTTCTCTACGTTAATGATTTACCGCTGTTACTTAGGTCGTCGACATTGTTGTTTGCGGACGATGTAAAAATTTGGAGAACAATGAAAAGTGCGGCTGATCATCTGGATCTTCAAGCTGACTTAGACGATTTAATTAGATGGGCTCGAGAGTATGGCTTAGAAATCAATGCTAGGAAGTGTGCTAATGCACATCGGCCACGGTAATAGTTACCGTCACACTATTGAGGGTAAACCTCTTCCATGCGTTCAAGAGCATAAAGACTTAGGAGTAGTAGTAAGTCATGATTTAAAAACAACTACGCATTGCAAAGCAGCTGCTGTCAAAGGTTTGCGTGCGTTATGGTCACTTCGCCGAGCGTTCGAATCTTCTGACGAGGAAACGTTTCGAATTTTATATCCCATATATGTACGACCACATTTAGAGTACTGTATCCAAGCAGCTAGCCCGTGTCTGGTAAAGGATATTAACTCCCTTGAGCGTGTCCAGCGTGTGGGAGCGAAATTAGTGAACGGACTAATTGCTTTCAATTTATTAAGTTTGTCTTTTAAACTTCAGAGAAAGTAAATAAATGCAACCAGTTAATTAATGTATGCTATTGAGGAACAAATTCCTGGTATATTTGGACTCCCTAAACTGTCCTACATGAAATTACTGTTTAAAGATTTGTTGTATAATAACAAAATACTTAAATTATTGAATTCCACTACATGTAAGCTTTTGTTTGACGCATAAACTCTTTTTGTGTTCATTACCTTTCCCAACCTATGGTTAATTTATTACGAATCTATCACTCTGTCCTCTTCAACTTACAGAGCAGTTATATCAAAATTACAATTTCGTAAGTAAATTGATGTATGATCAGGATTTTACTCTATATCACTGCATGATTAATGCTTAAATTCGAACTGTATGATTAGTTACCTGTCCGCTGTGTTATTTTCTATTCTGGCTATTGAGCGAGTGAGTTTGCGAAACTGCATTTAAGGTCAACAATAGTTAAGGGTCCCAATATATAAGAAGGGATCAAAATCATCCTGACATAACCATAGAGGGACTAGTTTGACTAATAAATCAACTAAAATACTAGCCTCAATTATCGGGCGTCTAACAAAGATTCGTGGACTGCAAACACGAGAAAACCAGGCTGAATTCAGATCTGGTCGTGGCTGTCTTGATCACATATTCACAATTCGTCAGGTTCCAGAAAACTGCATGCTTATCGACGTCCGACAATGGTAGTTTTTCTTGATCTAAAAGCATCAATCGACTCTGTAGACCGAGTGGTACTGTGGCAGTGTCTACCACTGAAAGGCGTATCTCAGGAGAACATGAACCTTGTAAAGGCTCATTACTCAAACACTACTAGTCGAGTCAGAGATTATGACGAACTGTCACATAATTTCACAACCTCAAGTGGTGTCCGTCAAGGTTGTCCATTATCTACATTTTTGATCAAATTCATCTACTGCTGGAAATAACGTTCTCGTCGACTGAATTTTTAGGAATTGGTCTCTTTCCAGGAGGTCTACTTATCGCCTTAATACGCAGATGACATAGTCCTGTTTGGCGAAGACGTTGATGAAATGCAGTCTTTTGGTAGCACTGAGCAACAATACCAGGATGTTTGGGATGCGTTTCTCCTCCTCTAAATGCAAGTTGTTGCTCCAGGACTAGCCTGCGTCAACACTTGAACTAAGGATAGAGAGTGTAGTCGAACGCGTCGACAACTTCACTTATCTTGGAAGCCTGATCAGTCCTAATGGGTTGGTGTCTGACGAAATCTCTGCACGGATTCGAAAAGCTCGTTTGGCTTTTGCCAACTTACGTCACTTATGGCGAAGGCGAGATATCCGTCTATCAATTAAAGGACGAGTATACTGCGCAGTAGTTCGTTCTGTTTTACTTTACGGCTGCGGCTGCCACTAAGGGTAGAAGATGCTTGGAAGTTACTAGTATTTGACCACAGATGTCTTAGAAATATTGCTTACATCTGCTGGGATCACTGGGTAAGTAATAGTGAGGTTAGACGTAGAGTGTTGGGGAATGATGGTAAATCAGTTCATGAGGTTGTGAATCTTTATCGACTGAGATGTTTGGGCCACGTATTACTCCTACCCAACCACCAACTACCACGATGCGAAATGCTGGCCAGTGTTGATGATGGTTGGAAGAAAGTTAGGGGCGGCCAAACCAAAACGTGGTATCAGTGCTTGAAGTCATTAACTTTTGATGTGAGCCATGTTGGTAGATGCAGACTACTTGGTTGGGGTCCACGTGACTGTCGTAACCGGTGGTTGGAGACTGTGTGAAATGACTCAGAATCGATCACAATGGTCTCGGTGTGTACACTCTCTGTCCGCCGTTAAACTATGAGATTAAAATTGCTTTATGTCTTTCTTTCTACGAACCAATTCTTTCTTCCTGTACCTCACTCTTATACACAATCCTTTTATATATTGCTACCATTGAAGTGACTACTTCTATGAATTTGGTGTTCATCGCGTTGTGCTAATGAGGCATGACAACTTGGACCAATTCATATGCCTGGTTCTACGTTGTAGCTGACTGACTGAAGTGACTAAGTAGACATTTTGTTGCGTTTATTTTCAATGCACACTGAATCTCTTCAAGGTATGTAGATCTTATTGTCCCTTTTTGTTTGCTTGGGATACCTTAATATAGTGATGGAAATTAGTTTGTTGATGCATATGCACTAGTTGTATGATGTCACCTTGGGAAATGATAAGACATATAATCCAATTGTCATTTGTCTATATGTTTATATATATCCAAATCTCCAGACTTTGATTATAAGGTTGAGTCTGGCGGACAGTTGTGAAAATTGTTTTGATGGTGATACAGCTAAATTTATGACTAGGTAGCACAGATACGTTTATTTTCTGTCTCAAACCTTCATATTATTTACATTTTACTTCTTGGCATAGGGGATTTCTGGTCATAGGTAGGAAGAATATTGGCTTACTAACATATGTACTACTTTCACTCCAACGATTGTTTGAAATATACGTATTCGCACTCCACTCTCGTATTTCGTTATTCACTAACGCAATTTAAGTCGATAACTAAATACGAGGGTTGGCCATATGTACATTTCGATTGAAATCTTCATGCAGTTCAATTGGGGTCAGATACAGTGTCACTAAACCATGTCAAATTTCACGTTGAGTTTAGACTTATAAATAGTCGCTCATTTTCAAGGTATCTGGTTCACTATTTTGTAGGTTTAAATTGTTGGTAACATTAGCAGGGTAAAAAGTCATTAGGGGTAGTTACTTTCGTGCTCTGTTGTAATAATTCTCACTACTCCAACTCGATTACTATGAACAAAACTATTCTATCGTCATTTTCCTGTCTTACTAACTAGAGTGGAAACCAGTTTTGCAAATGTAGATCCGGTATAATCAGTCAGTATACATTAAATTTGTTCATTATATACCAATAAGAAATGATTAGAATATTTAAACTAAGTGATTGTGATTAACTCAAAATATCGTCAAAGTGTATTAGAATTCCGGAATAGTGTTCACATTGAATAACTTACTGTAATGGGGTTTCAACTTTATTGATAATGATTTAATTCTCATAAGTTGCAATTTGAGATCGTATATCCTCAATAGAGATTGCAAGGAAAATGGTTAAAAAAGAAAAAAAACAAGTTAGGATAGGAATTACGAGGGCTACCAGTAAGAAATTTTAGTTGTGTTTAGTGTCGTAGTATAGCACTTCCCATTCTATGACATTTGATCTGTTGCTCAGCTTGCTAACTAATTCATTCTGTGCGTATTATCAGCAAGGTTGTTATACTATGTTAAACAGCTGATATTGCAATCTGTATTATTGAATAATTTAGAGTAAATGACAGGTAATTTCCGGCTTCAGAAAAATAAATAAATATTTGATTAAAATGATGAAGTCATTTTTAATACTTCACCATGTGTTTTCTAATAAATTTGTTACAAAGGACTTTTAGTAATGTAAACTATTCGATTGTCTCATACCCTTTAATGTAGCACTAGACAAAATCAATATTCTACTCTTCGTCATTACTGAGTTTTCAGATGGACACTGAGTTAGAAAATGTTTTGGGGAACCTTAATGAAGTATCGAAGCTTCTGTTGAATAAGAGTTTTCAAGAGGTTAGTAAATGCTTCCAATGTTTCCATTAATGTGTTTCAGGTTGTTAATTATTTCGATAAACTTCTGAGATCTGATAAGTCAAATAGATTGAATTCCCTTGAAGCACTTCTAGGTAATGTTTATTTTTGTGACAAAATGGTTTAATATTTTCAGTAGGTGTCAGTAAACATGAGCAGCTGTTAGAGATATATGAGCATGTTGTTGATTTCTTATGGTCAAAAGAGGTGGATACTTCTATTAGACTTATTTTTTTTTCATTTCTAAATAATAATGTATGTTGACCTGCCAATTTTAAATGTTTTTTAATTATAGTTAGACTTTCTAGAAGATTGGAAGGTTGAGCGTTTGTGCTTCCGAATGATTCGAAAACTAATTTATGTATGCTCAGAGCCATCACTGTAAGATCATTCCTGTTTATCATTGTTCAACAATATTTTAGTTTGTTCGATGTTCTAGCCAGGGCATTAGTGAAGCTGGAAAACTCTAATACTGTTTTAAGTTCAATGATTGATTCACTTTGTTCTGTAGAGTAAAGACATTTTTTTTAAAGAAGATCATAATTTCAGGTGGCACAACGACAATATTATATATTTATTGGATATTTTCAGTAATTATAGCTTACAACAAAAGTCCATGGAAAAGATACTGGAAAAAGCTCTTTCCAAAATTACTTCATGGGAATTAGATAAACGACCAATTTTTATACAAAGTATCCTATTATTTTCTTTCCCGGTTTGTCTAGTTTCCCCTAATGATTATTTTAGTTAGAGATATATGGAATTCCTATTCTTACAACTTACATCACTTATATATGGTAATAGTAGTTGTCCTCCTGAATCATTTGAAGTTATACGTGGCCAGTTAATGATGAAAATATTCTCATTAGTTAATGCTAATCAACAGTTTGGAAAAACTATTTTTGAAACTGTCAAGGTATTTTCCCTGTTTAGTTTAATTTTTTTCCCACAACGGGCTATTAGTGTTTGTCCAAATCATTAACTGGATCGGAATTCTATTATACCGTTTTAATGACCTTACTCCCTAACCGAAGTACTCAATCTGAAGTAAGTATTCTTAACTATCCTAACACATATGTCTGTTCATTTACTAAATTTTTCAGTTAGTCATCTTTTCAGGTATATTGCTACGTTTGTCTGATTAGCATTAAAGTTTGGTTAGTAATGTTAAATAATATTTCGCCGAAAAATACAGAAAGAGTCAAGATAATAATATATGTAATCATACTGCGAAAGACTAAACATTGAAGAGTATAATTCAAGTGAAAGAAATGAATTCGCGGAGCAAAATATGTGGAATAGTATTGAATATTAAGTCATGTGGCAATTAACAGTAAATTAATCTATTTTACTGTCTAATTCTGACCCATTTCACCGAAGGACTCCATTGATAACACATCTTAACGACCTAAAGACTAGTTGTATAAATACCTTACTGGCGAATATTTAGACACTTTGTGCGTTTATGTAACTTCTGACTCACCATGTCATCCAAGTATAAATCCAATCGTTTCTAGATTCATATGAGCGACCCTAAAGTCCCTAGTGGGGATATATGATGGTAAAGAATATGGATTAGCAATCAGGTCTTAACTCATTGTAGAGTGAACGACCTACAAAGCTAATTTACTCCAATCGCCTATGATATATAAACATGTTTATTTTTCGTGATGATAATTTTTATATAAGCATGTTATTTTGTGAGATAGAATTAAATCCAGCTGTTCTGACTAGTTGTATTGTCTTTAATATTAACTCATTAGGAGGGAATCGCATAAATAATCCAACCTCATGAATTGCCATCGCTCAGCACCCACATCACCATGAGATTTGTAATTGTCGAGTTCAATGATCAGATTCTACTCATTGTCAAGTAGTTCGGCTATAGTCGGATATCGGAAAGTATGTCTATGTTCTAGAACGCGTCGAGGGGTGAATAATTGGTCTGTACATCCGTGCCCAGGTCTGAAGCCATCCTATTTTTTTCGGATTTTCTCTTAATGAGCTGTAGTTAAACGTCGAAGTATTATTGAGCTAATATATTAGACTATATGTTAGTTAAACTGATTCGTCTGTGATTGTCACAGTAAGATTTTTTTCCTTATAGGACTATCAGCGATCGAAACCAATCAGATGGAATTACGTCCAGTTCCTGAATTTTAGTTAAGATCTCTGTTAATCTAGCTGCTAAGACTGGACCGTCGTTCTTAAAAATCTCAGGCGTTAGTCTGTCAGGCCCTGCCGCTCTCCATCGCTTTAGATTGTCTATAGGCTTTTAAACCTCACTAAAAGTTTAAGGACTTACACTAATTTACCATTCAGGTTGCTTGGAAATCGTAGGTAACCTAAGCGTGACTGAAGGTCAGTTGAACTGTCCCCTAAAGCATTCTGCCAATTGGTCCAATTTAGTGGATCGAGTGAATATTGATCCCATCTTTGTCCGAGAAAGTCTCACTAACAGCCGGATAAGTGTAAATAATTGTCTGCTATTACCTATCGCCTCTGCCGTTTTCATCTCTTCTGATTCCTCTATTCACCATTAATCAATATCATTGTGTAGGCTGAACCAGATTTATGGATGTCACTTTCATTATATATAGCAATTTAATCCGAAAAAATTAATATATAAATGTAAATTACACCATAAATTGCTTATTGAAATAGAAAACTGACCTATATTAGACAACCGTTGGAAAACAGAGCGGGGTTCATCAGTAGTGCGCACCCACGATTCCGCTTATGGAAACCGGACCCCTAGGTCTCGCGCCTGAATACTTAACCTATAGACCATTGAGTCGTTATTTGGTGGTGTACAAGTCTAATTCCAATAAATATACGATATTGTGCGACCATCTGCGCTTGTTAGTTAGATACGATGAATAATGCAATCCGAAGTCATCTAAAAACATAAATCGTAAGTTCTTATATAAAACTTTGTTAAGTATACTTTCATATTTCATTTCCCTCACTTTTGTTTGTTCCTACTTTTTTCTCAAATTAGTATTCCAGTCTGTGACAACTGTCTTTTAGCGAGATACTCTTGTTCCTTAACATGTATTATAGGATCAGTGTGCTTCTCATGCAGATCTATTGAACTTAAGAACTGTGTACTGCGATATATCCTTGCGAGGCAGGTTACGGATAGTGCTTTTGTCGACGTAATTCATAAATATAGTGAAAGCTCGCCCTTAACTATCTTATCAAGCTATGTATACTTAATAGTGATATAATTTCTCGTACATCTTGTTATGACCTTGAGATGTCTGAATTTTCTATCACGCGATTTATTTACCAATACGAATACGACTTATACGAATCTTCACACTAGGCCAACCAATGACGTTCAACCGGTGTGGGCAGTTTAGCGTCCTTATTGGTCCTATGTCTTACGAGCCCTTCCACTTGAGTCCAGAACAAAACACCAGCTTCCGAATCAGAGCAGATCAGACCAGATCGTTTATTTCAGGCATACTTGGTTTATATATCAATCATACAGACCGCAACGTACCATAAAATAGGAAATAATATTTGTACACAAATAAGCCAAAAAGTGGCTGTGAACGAGGGGGACAGTGAATAATAGACTGAGCACAGATTAAGAACCGTAAATCGTATAATAATAAATTATAGGTCAAAATAAAGCTTATCATAAAAGGAATATAAATATACATAGTGTAATTGTTGAGTAGTTATACAATAAGAATATTAGTCCATGAATAGTCCTCGGAAGTTACCTGTAATTTAATCTCCACTCGGATATAACACATCTTAAATCAACAACTTTTTGTGGATGTGTGAAGAGATTAAATTTTCTTATTTTTCCTGTGCTCATTATTTTTATCTGCCATATTTTTATAAAGGCCACTCAATTACTGACTACTTCTATTTTAACGGGATTTTCTGATAGTCACTTGGTGTTAGAGTCGTCGTTTCTTCGTGACTTATGCCAACTACCGGATGATCCTAAAGAAATTATCCTCAAACTTAGTGAACACTGGTAAATTTACATAGCAATATATATAGTCTGTTGAATTTATCAATGTCTGGTTTTTACGAAGATCTGACATTAAAAAATTTCGGGATATCATGGAATCTTGTCTTTTTCTGCTTACTTTTAATTTTGGGGATATATGTTCTTGCTGATTATCCGATCAGTTTGAATTTATGCAGCCATATTGGTTTCGTTTGGACTGGTTCGGATATATTCACTTCGATGAGCGATTTAAATGGTCCTGTTATCTAGTATCAACCACTGTCGGAGGTAGTGATCATAATTCAATTAATTTTACCGTCTTGATCTTGGAACACCGGTTTCATTTGCTTAGACATTTGCTAAGAATATCATTCCAACAGCTTCCACGTAGTGCATTGTTTGCCGACTCTTAGACAGATTGGAAAAAAGCAGAGGTGGTGAGTTTATAGCTTGGGACCATGCTATTAAAGAAAGCTGTGTTGGACTAGGATCTGTCGGCCTGCTTCAGTCTGACCACCCAGGAAGTATCACAACCCACACACAAATCAAGTGACTTGTGTTGCGCATATGTATTCAGTGCTCCTTTGTACCAATATTTGTGTACAATTAAATAAAAAACAAAAGTCGGCCCATCACGACTCTGGTTTGGGTTCGAGAGATGGTGCGATTCAGTGACTTGAGACGTTACCAGACATGTCTCAAACCAAATCAATTGCGACCCTGCTGTAATATTCTCTTACATTTATAAATGTGAGAGAAATTTCTTTCACCGAAAGAATTCCGAATTTTTTCGTTCGTATTGTTAAGTGAATTGTTTCTCCATTCTCCTCAAATATACTCAATTTTCCCCACAATGTTGTTTATACTTTGTGTGGAGCATTCTATTGATGTAAAATTATGTGAGATTTTGTGCTTCAGTAAAATGATAAAGTCACTTTGTCATCCGTAACTTAGAACGTGACACATGTGCATCAGTTTAAGTTGTCAGGCCAGAGATGAAATTATCAAAAGAAATGCTGGAGTATTCGGTGTAGTAATGGTGTCAGTGGTATTAAAAAATTAGGCATAAGGAATATTATAAATAAAAATAATATATTTATAACAATCAACCCAATGAGTAGAAAATCTAATTTTCTACTCATTGGGATATTACAAATATATTATTTTTACTTATAACAATCAACCCAATGCTCAATTTATTCGAAATAAGGAATATTATTTGGGAAGAAGAACTGGACTCATGTAATAAAGAATGCAAGATCGTTTTCAAACTCAAGATCTAGAGGAAGACAATAAGTGAATGCATTTGCTTCATTGATACCAGTTCTGAACCGTGTCACCCAGTCTCCAACCGTTGTCGATAATAATCGATAATAATCTACAGTTATCGAAATGACTCAGTCCACACAGTCAATAACCTCATGAACTGATGTCATGTCTTAGCTTAGACGCCCTTGGAGTTCTATAGCAAACATCGCTCATCGTGTTATCTAACGCTTCAGCTATAAAATTGTAACCGGGATAGGATAAACACCAATGTTTC